GGGGTACAAAGAGAAAGGAAGGATTACCTTTCTTTCTAGAGAGAGATTGGGAAGGAGAGTTGTGAGCAAACTCTTACCCTCTTCTCTTTTTTATAGAGATGAGTCTTTGTTGACCTAATTTTTTTGTTTTTCGTGCCAACAAAATAAATTTTCATATCTTAGACAAGCCCAAAACCATGTTCTTAAGAGTCCGATGTAAACATATCACAATAAACCCGAACCGTTCTCATCATAAATTAGCCAAACAAAATGGCAAAGACAAGTCATATCCGTAATGGTTCGGGGTTATTCTCAGAACATCTGCTTGCCAAATTTAACATTGATCGCTTATATCACGGCACCACCATTACTGATACTGCCAAGCTGGGAGGCTAACTGTAGGGGTCAAAATCCACCCTTTAGGAATCAATGCTTAAAAGTGGCAATGTATGGAAAAAGTTAGCGGGTTTTCCGCGGAAATCCTTAATGGGTTTTCTGCAGAATCCTTAACGGTCTACAGAAAACCTTATCTTTTGGGTTAATCCGACCTGCGGTAAACCATAAACCCGACCCGCGAGACGATGACAAACAAGCAACGAGCCGAGCTGCAGGGAATGGGCCGAAGCGACAGATAGTGGACAGAGCCGCGGAGAGAAGCTCACGACGCGTCGCCAACTTCGTTTTTAGGAGAATCCTGCAAAATAAGGAAAAGTTCCTTATCTCATCAAAGAGGAGCCCTAGCCGCGAAGTACCTATAAATACTAGTGTAAACTTTCTGAAAAAGGGATCTGCCATTTTTACAAAAAAAATCATTGTAACAACTTGACAGAAACAACAATAATAAAAATCATCTTCTCTTATCTTTTGCTTTCCGTGATTCATACTTAAAAATTTCCGTTCCTCAAATCCTAGACAAATTACATTATTCGAGTTTCGACTCCCACAAAAACTACCACAATTGCGTACCAAAATCGACGTAGTATTTTAGAGTTGAATCATCAATAACTAGCTTGATGGTGCATGCACACAAAAATGCGGTGAGACGAAATATGTATTTTTTGGGGAAAGTGGGAGGGGGAGTTTCTAAATGCTAAACAAATGAAATTTATAAACATAAGCAAGACACTAAACAAACAAGTTAAAAGACTAACAAAGTTAAAATGCAATATTTAATGCAATTGCATAAGATAATCTTCATTGTTTTCACTAAAAATATATTTTCACTGAATCAATGAATCATCTTCTTTCCGGCAGACAGATACTAATGTTTATCAACAATTGGGATACACACTAAGAATAATCGTGAAGCAATGTGGTACATGCTGGAAAAAAAAAAGTATATATATCTCGATTTTTTAAACCTTAAAACGACTACAAATGTGTGGCAATATTGATCATGTAGTGTTTTGGAACCGTGATATACATAGTTTTAACCTTAAAAATGCATAATAAACGGAATAATATTTTAGGGATTGAATCCACATAGAAAAAGTTTTACTAAACAAATCTATTGAAATAAAGCTAAGTGAAGACACAATATGATTTTTGTTTTTGGATGCAACAATGTAACTAAGAAATTTGATGTAAACTATCAATAAAAAGCACTGGACATCAACGAATCTTGGGGATTCAAGCATACAACAATCGATAAATTATCAAAGAAAACATTTAAAAAATAGTTCTAGAACACGAATCACGATATAAATTTGACATATTGTCTTAATATTAATTACTATGTCTAACATATTGAGATCATAAACTATGTTTTGAATATAAGAGATTAAAATGCATTAAATTCAAGTTTAATATGTTTACAAATAGAGTAACATCAGTTTTTGTTGGTGAAGAATGCTTTACTCATCTAAGTTTTTTTTCAGAATTTTTGGTGCCCTAAACAATCCAAGATAATAAATGTTGGATATCAATCCAAGTCCTACATCGGAAGTTTAGACAACAATGGTTTAATATATAAGTAATGTCCAACTCTAATTAGTATGTGGCCTTTCGGGAAGGAGCCCAGGAACAAATCCGTGCGGACTTTGCCTATGGGCCCAAAACGGATAATATCATACTAATAGGAGGAGTTGGACATGGGTTTGGAAAGCCCAACAAATGGTATCAGAGCCTAGGTTCAGAAAAGTGGACCTGGAGAAGTGGGTTGGGCTTGGGTGTTCGATGTGGGAGGAGAGCCCCCAAAAAGGAGACCTCGTGAATAAGGGTACAGGGACCTTGTATCGAATGTATTCCTAACGGTCTCCCAAGGGTTAGGTGAAGAACATGCGATACAAGATGGGTGCCAGGTTTTGCCGGAGGCAGAAGACCACGGGTTTATGTGGTACTTGGTTTGAGGGGAGGATTGTTGGGATATCAATCCAAGTCCCACATCGGAAGTTTAGACAAAAATGGTCTAATATATAAGTAATGTCCAACTCTAATTAGTATGAGGCATTTTGGGAAGGAACCCAAGAACAAATCCGTGCGGGCTTTGCCTTTGGGCTCAAAGCGGACAATATCATACTAATAGGAGGAGTTGGACATGGACTTGGAAAGCCTAACAATAAACTAGACAAATAATCAAATTCTAGCAATATGGACAAAATAGGCAAAAAAAACCCAAATTATCAATCCCTAAATAAACATCTTAATCAATCAAACCCTTAAATCTCTTCCAAAATCCTAAACTCAATTGAAAAATTAATCAGACGTAAAAGTACTCAAAGCAAAAGAAGATTTAATAGAAGACATGATAAAATCCTTTATATATTAGTTAAGGATACACCTTGAGAATTTAGCTTATACAGTATCTGTGTCATTCAAACGGTAAAATAAAGGCCACAAAAGATTAATTTACAGTGAACTTTTTGTTTTTTTTTATGCTGAGTACTTATTAAAAAAATTAGAAAGATCTATTTTGATATGTTAAGTTTATGGGTTAATTAGTTGAATATTACTTTTGGGAGAAAAAATTAGGTAACTAACATATCAAAAAAATATTTAGGTAAGTAACAGAGAGAATTAAAAATATAATGAAAAAACTTCTACAGTTGTAATTAAGGTAAATAAGAAAAATAAAAAAATCCATAAAAATCTTCTCTTAATTTCATCTCTGATAAAGTAAATCTACGTCTTGCCCAATGATCTGGAAAAAAAAATTGAGTCTGAAAATGACAAAAAAATTGTATATGAACAGTTAATTATATAATAACATAGTTAACTATTTTCAAAACTAGCTATTCAATTGATCTCAAAACATAGCTAACTAAATCACAATATTTGTAACTATCTAAAACAATAGTTAACTATTTTTAGAAAATATTTACCAATTTAAAAATATACTTAACTATTTTCAGAACATAGCTATCTACTTTACTGATTTCATGACATAATTGACTACATAAAAATAGTGTTGTAATAATTACTTATTTAAACAAACATAGTTGACTATTTTGAGAACGTAGTTACCTAATATAGTTTGAATAATAGAAAATAACATATATAGTATTGTTATTAAAAAAATAGTTACTTATTATAATGAAAAAAATAACACACATAGTTAACTATTATTAGAAATATAGTTATCTATTATAATGAAAAAATACATAGTTAACTATTATTAAAAACATAATCATCTATTATACTGATTTTCGAATATAGTTAACAATGTGATCTCATCGGCGGTTCTGTTTGACCAAAAGAGAGGAGTTTAATGGATGAGAAGAAACACCATCTTAATTCATGATTAGAGATTAACATTGATTTATGGTAACGAGTTAAGACAAAGTAATTGACATAGAAGAAAAATAAGCGAATTGCGAAATTCAATATAAATAT